CAGTTTAAATTTAAATTAAATAAAATAAAATAAAAAGTTATTAGTATATGTTTGCAGTACCTAATGATTACATTCACATTCATCATGGGGAATTGGTACATGTACCTAACACATCTCAATTCTTTTTTTACCCCCTCCCCCTCCACTACTGGTGTTTTTTCCCTTTTTTTTTTTTTTGGTACCGGGGATCAAACTTGGGACCTTGTGCCTGCGAGGCAGGCGGTGGAACCACTGAGCTAAATCCCCGGCCCTCAGATATATTTATCTTGTAAGTCTCTATCAAGTTAGTTATCATAAACATAGATTAACAGCTAGACTAACAGGCAAAAAAAACATATAAAGCACATAAGACAATTATATTAAATCATTGTACTTTTAGAGACATTGGCCAGACTGAATTACAGTAACTTTTCTTTTTCTATTGTCTGTCTTTCATCTTGCACTTTATTTTATTTATTATTTTTTTATTTTTGGTACTAGGGATCGAACTCGGGTCCTTGGACTTGCAAGGCAGGCAGTAGAACCACTGAGCTAAATCCCTGGCCCCTGCACTTTATATATTGGATTTCTTATTTAAGAGAAACCACGTGATATTTAAGTTTGTGTGTCTAATTTACTTGATTACAGTCTCAAGGTGCAACAGTTTTCCTACAAATGACTCAAATTTATCCTTCATGGCAGAGCAGTACTCCACTGTATATAAATACATTTTCTATATCCATTCATCTGTTGATGGACATACAGGCTGCTTCCAAGATTTAGCTATTATAAATTGTGCTACATTGCTGGCCATTCAAGAAGTGCAAATTAAAACAACACTGAGATTTCATCTTACTCCAGAAAGAATGGCCATCATCAAGAAATCAATAACAAATGCTGGAGAGGCTGTAGGGAAAAGGGAACACTTCTTTGTTGTTGGTGGGAGTGTAAACTGATACAACCACTATGGAAATTAGTATGGCGATTCCTCAAAAAACTAAAAATAGAAACTCCATTTGACCCAGCTGTAACCCTTCTAGGTATCTTCCTGAAAGAGTTAAACATTTTTTTTTTTTTTTGAGACAGGGTCTCACTGTGCAGTTCTGGCTGGCCTTGAACTCACTATGTAGCCCAGGCTAGCCTTGAACTCAAGACAATCCTCCTGCTTCAGCCTCCCAAGTGCTGGGATTACAGGTGTGTGCCAGCACACCTGGCTAAGGACATCATATTACAGTAATACATGCATAACCATATTCATAGGAGCACAATTCATAATAGCTAAATCTTGGAAGCAGCCCGTATGCCTATCAACAGATGAATGGATAAAGAAAACGTTACGGTCAGTGAAGAAGGGCTGGCCATTTGGAGCTATCCTCATTTCCTAGCCAGATAGCAGGAAGCTCAGTGCAACTTTGTGGAACTGCTTCCTATTGATCTGATTAAAACTTTTGATGAAAATGAGCTGAAGTTGTGATATGCAGCTTCAGTGATGTTGATGTGAACAACTGGAGACAGCATTTTATTTACAAGAATGGCTGCTGCCTGAATGACCCTATCATTCACCCTTCTGGAAGGCTGTGCTATTGACAGTCACCAAGAAGCAGATCTAGTTACTGCCAGTTTATCAAGGGGATATCCTGTGTACCCAATAATGGATTTGCTGAGCTTTCGTTCCAATGGTCCTCAGCTGTTTACAGTAGAGTAATCTGACATTCCTGAAAAACTGCCGAGAGCTCACACATGCTTTAATGGCCTTATCCATATGAAACTTTTGAAGATTTATAAGAGAAGCTTCTCATGGCCGTGGAAAATGCTCAAGTATTTGAAGGGGTGGATTAAGATCTTCTTCCTCAGGGCCACTGTCCATCCAGCACATCCATCCATGTGCTCTTCTACATTATTATTAATTTCATCATTTTATTGTTGTTTTGTTTTTTTGGAACTGGGGATTGAACTCGGAACTGTGTGCTTGCGCGGCAGGTGCCAGAACCACTGAGCTAAATCCCCAGCCCAATTTCATCATTTTAAATGGGCTTAGTTTGTGGCACCCCAAAATGATTATAATAGTAACATCAATATCAAAAATCACTGTAACCGACAGTAATAATGGAATTTGAAACATTGCAAGAATTTTCAAAATGTGACACAGAGAAACAAAATGAGCACACACTGTTGGAAAAGAGATGTTGAGGCTTGTTTGACGCAAAACTTCAAACTGTAAGACACAATATTTGGCTTCCTTGGCTGCAACATGGACAGTACCAGTAGAATGGAAGAACCGGTTTCGGCAGAGGTGGTGTCGGTGGCACAGGCTCTTTCTCTCCCAGCAGAGTCTTTTGGCAATGACCCGGACATTGAGATGGCTTGGGCCATGAGAGCAATGCAGCATGCTGAATTCTATTACAAACTGATTTCATCAGTTGACCCACGGTTCCTGAAACTCACCAAAGTGAATGATCAAATCTACTCTGAATTCCGGGAACATTTTGAGAAACTCAAGATAGATGTATTGGACCCAGAAGAACTCAAATCAGAATTGGCTAAAGAGAAGTGGAGGCCATTCTGCTTGAAGTTTGATGGGAGTGTAGAAGACTTTAACTATGGTACTTTGCTGCGACTGGATTGTTCTCAGGGCTACACAGAGGAAAATACTTCCTTTGCTCCCAGGATACAATTTTATGCCATTGAAATTGCTCAGAACCGAGAAGGCTATAATAAAGCAATTTATATCAGTGTTCAGGACAAAGGAGGAGCGAAAGGAGCCAATGAAGGAGAGGCTGGAGGAAAGAATGGAGCTGACAGTGGAGAAGAAGAGAAAGTAGAGAAAGGAGCAGATAGCAGAGGAGAAGAGGAGGGAGTCACTAGAGAAGGAGAAAAAGAAAACTGACAAAGGAGAAAAACAGAAAGAAAATGACATGCTAACCAAAGCTGTGAAGCATCTGTGTAAGGTAGACAGGGAGTAGTACTCTGTGGTTTTTTTGTTGTTTTTTTGGTACCAGGGATCGAACTCGGGTCCTTGCGCTTGCACAGCTAAATCCCTGGCCCAGGGAGTAGTACCCTGGAGGCTGTGACTCAAATGAGCCTATCAGTAGCGCGGTGCTACTTGCCCAGACCCCTTTGGTTAAATGTATGTCTTTGTCAGTTGAAGGACACTCTAAGGACATCTGCCTAGCCTAATAATCACAAGCTGCTGTGGTTGTTCCCTTGTATGAACAGACTTAAAGACTATTAGTGGCAAGAAATTGCTCTTAGTTCTTATGATCATCTATATATGTGACTTCTAAAACATATGTGAAGTTATTAGTTCAAGTTTTTTTCAGGTTTATAATCTCCCCACCACGTTTTATGTAAAACGATTGATGCATGTATCTTAACTCTTGTCACTGTTTGTTGAAGTTTTCTTAACCTCTGAAGTTGTACCTGATCCTAGGATTAGAAGTCTTCATATAAAAATTGATTGCTGCTCTTAAAAAAAACCCCACAATATTTGGATGCACAATAAAATGAGGTGTGACTGTATATATACTTTGTTCCTATTATTAAAATTCTTCTAACTGGGTGTGGTGATGCACACCTGTAATCCCAACACTCAAGAGGCTACATAGTGAGTTCAAAAAAATCTTCTAACTATATGAATGCATTTAGTATTTAAACTAAATATACCAAAAAAAGTGAAAAAACTAAGTTACCTACAAAATGGCTCAACTATCAATTATACAATATATTCATTTTACTTTAAAAAACTATGTAAGTTACCTCCAAAGTGGTATAACTGTCAACTATACAAACAAGTTAAGTACTGTATTGTTTACTTTTGAAAGCTTTTGTCTTTAATGAAAATTTCTAACAGAATTCTATATTAAGCTAAATGGTCAATTAAGGGTAGATTAATGAAAAATGAAAAAAAATGATGCCACATACGCAACAATGCTTGCCTCACACAAAGTTCTTAGGAAGCAGGTGAAGGAATATTCCATCAAAATGAGGGAATAAACTGAGAGAAAGAACTGGGATCAGATGCACCAGAAGAAAGGAAGAAGGGTCCCAGGGTGAAAGATAATCTAAATTCATCCAGAGATATTATATAACCAATTAAAATCCTGTGTTTGAGGACTATTTAATGAACTGTGGATAATACAGGAAATAAATAATATAAAAAACTAGAAATAGCACAATTTTATTTAAATGTATGCAGATTGGATGGAAACATACCAAATGTTAACAACAGTTAGCCTAGGTAGTGTGGTCATATAAAATTTCATTTTATCTCCACATTTTTCTACTGTTCAAAAACTGCAATGATTTTTAATTTTGTAACTGAATAGCCATTTTACTAAGTAACTACAATAGCATTATTTTATCCACAATATTAAACAGTAATAATACTAATAGTCCATATTAATTTTTCCATAATATTGTCCATTATAACTTTTAAAAAATCCAAGACCCATCAAGGATCACAATTTGTCACATCTGTTTAGTTTTTTTTGATCTAGAATAGTCTGACTTGTTTCATTTCGGTTTTGATCCTTCATGACACTGACAGTTTTGAAGAGTCTAGACCAGTTATCTTCTCTCCTAAGATTTTTTTTTTTCCCTAGTACCAGGGATCGAACTCAGGACATTGCATTTGCAAGACAGGCTTGGTGCCACGGAGCTAAATCCCCAGCCCTCAGGCCAGCTATCTTCTAGATGATCACACAATTTGGATTGTCTCATAGTTTCCTCACTATTAAACATTTCTGGCAAGAACACCATCCAGGTGACATATTCCATTATCTGTCTGTCTTATCACTGGTCATGTGATATTTAATCACCTGATAAGAAAGTGTTTTCCATATTCTCTATTGTAGACATACTGCTTCCATTTTGTATTCAATAAGTAATTGTTACAGCAATATTTTGAGACAGACCATCCAGTTTCACAACGAAGTATCACCTAATAGTTTTAACATCCACTTATCATCTTTGTCTGAATTTTACCATATTTGGAGTTCTAGAACTGTGATTTTCTTAGTCTAAGATTCAATCTGCTTTTAGAGCTGGAAGTGTGGGGGTTTTTTTGGTACTGGGCATCGAACTCGGGACCTTGTGCTTGCAAGGCAGGCAGCGGAACCACTGAGCTAAATCCCCAGCCCTGAAGAGTTTTTTTTTCTGGAAATACATTGTGGATTCACTGATTTTTATTCAATGTGTTCAACCCACTGCCACCATTGTTTTTCTGAATGCTTAAAACTTCCCAAGTACAGGAGATGTACCTCAGTAGCACAGTGTTGTCTAGCATGCATGAGACCCTGGGTTTTGATTCCCACCACCATGAGGGTGAGGAGGAGGCTTCTCAAATTTGTCCTGTGGAAGTTTCACAAGCTGGCTCCTGTGTCTTCTTGATATACCCATATTTAAGCACTTGCTTGATTTCTGGCACCTAGTTACTTCTGCTGTCCTTGAGTTATTTTCTCATGGAGCCTGACTTAGTTGCTCTCCCATGACTAGTACAAAATACCCAACACCTACAAATTAGAGGACAGATTTACTTTGCCTCATAGTTTCAGTCCAAAGTTGGCTAGTTCCAAGACTGAAAAGCATGGTGAAAGGGCCTGGGAGAGGAAAGCTGCTTACATCATGGCAGCCAAGAAGAAAGAAGAGATGGGAAGAAAGGTAGTGGGGAAGAGGGAGAGAGCAAGAAAGAGAGAGGGGGAGAGCAAGAGAGAGGAGGGAGAGGAAAAGCCAGGGACAAGAAAATACTTTCAGGTCACACACCCAGTGACTCACCTCCAACCAGGCCCCACCTCCTAACAGCATATTCAGCTGCTGAACTCATCAATGGATGAATTCACTGATGAATATAGCACCCCCGTGATCCAATTACCTCCCAAACATGAGACCTTTTGAGGGATATTTTAGATCTAACCATTACCTTCCTCCTCTGGCCCCCAAAAGGTTCATATCTATCTCATTATGTAAAATGTATTTAGTCTATCTCTAACAGTCACGAAAGTCAACAATTCCAGCACTGCTGAAAAATCCAAGTCCAAAGTCTCCTTCTCAGACACAAGGCAAACTCTTAGCTCTGAACCCCTAATAATAAAAAAGATTAGGCCCTTCCAACATACAGCAGCACAGGGTAAACATTTCCACTCCAAAAGAGAAATAGGAGAGAAAAGAATGGGAGCAAAGAAAGACCAAAATCGAGCAGGCCAGATATTAAATCCTAGAGCTTAGTGTCCAGCAACCTGGGCAGTTATGGTGAGATGAGCTCCAAAGAGTTTGAGCGGCCCTGCCCCTACGGCACAGCCAGTTGCAGCCTTGTGTCCTCTCTCTTGGGCTGGCTCTAGTCACTGCCTGCAACTTTCTTCAGCAGACTATCCACAACTCTGGCATCTCCAACTTCCTGGGGTCTGCAACGCACTTTTGGCTTCACTTTCATAGGTTCACACACTGCTTCTCAGGAGGACACTGTCTGGTCTCCTAGGCCTTTCTAGGAATCTGTGTGGAGGCTTCCCTGACCCCACAACTCTATCATTCTGCATGCCTGAAAAACCAGCACCATGTGGATGACGCCACAGTCTGCCACCAGTGGGAGCAGTAGCTGGGCGCCATTGGATCATGGCTGCACTGGCCTCTGCATGCCTTGATGGCTGACCATGGTGAAATGAATCCTGGGAAATTAATTCCCCAGGCAGCCCTTCTTGAGTAAGCAGGGGGTCTAAGAGTGCTCTTCTCAAATGAAAGTTTTACAGCTTTGCACCCTTGAGCCTGCAAAGAATGGGGTCTTTCTGATTCCAGAGATGTCTTCAAATCATCTTTCCTATTGTCCCGATGCAAAGTACTTGGCTTCTTTTTAATGTTAATATTCTCTGCAACCATGCTGTCCATGGTTCCAATGTTGTAGGTGCCTCCTTTCTGATGAGGCTTTGAACTTTTCACATCTGCTTTTTACTCCTGATTTTCACCACAGACCTTGCTAAAAAGCAGCCAGCAGTACCAATGCAGCAGCCACCAGTATCCAGGCTACAGCCTGAATGGTGATGGACTGCTTTGAAATTTCCACCATCAGATTAGTCCACTGCCCTTACTCTCAGTCTCCTGCAAAGTCTAAAAATACGGGCAAAATGAAGACAGATTTTCTGCCAGGATGTAACACACATGGTCCCTAGTCCAACTGCCAATGGAGTCCTTGTTCCTAACTGAAACCTTCTGAGGTCTGACCAGAATCTTTCATCAATCTCTGCTTATAGCATTCTAAGACTTCTCTAGTCAGCAACTCCAATTCTTTCCAAACTTCTTCTACAAACCTGTTCCAAGGGCTTCTAAACCACATGGTCACCTATAGTCAGCAACAACCCCACTTTCCTCGTGCCAATTTCTGTTAGTCAACTTTTCCATTTTTAGGAAAAAATATCTGAGCTTGCAACTTAAAGGAGAAAGGGTTTATTTTGGCTCACAGTTTCAGTGCAAAGTTAGCTGGCTCCAAGGCAGAGAAATGCATAGGAAAGCTATTCGTGTAATAGCAACCAGAAGCATGGAGAGAGGGAAGAGAATACACCCTTCTAGATCACATACACACTCCACATGAAAAATGTGTCATCAATGTAACTGCTATTTCTCAGGGGCATGGCAGAAACTGTTAGCTGTTAGTGTTCCCTTCTTTTTCCTAGTTCCCTCGTTGGATTATATTTTTCCCAGTCTCCCTGGAAGTTAGGAATGTCTATAATGACTGATTGCTGGTCAACAGGATGGGAGTAAATGTGATATAAACGACTTCTGGGGTTGAGCACATTTCCCTTCCTGGGGGCAACCAGAGAAACTCTGAAAGCACATGGTGAGCAGCCACTGTGTCCCTAGTGTGCACAGCCACCCTGGACTATTACATGGGAGAAGTAAACTCATACTAGATGTGAGATATACAAGGTCTATTTCTACAGCATTTTAGCCTATCCTACCTTCATATAAGATAGCTCTTGTTGGTTTTCTCATATCCTTCTGATCGTGCTTCATATATCCCTGGTTTTTTCTCCTTTTTTTTGGTACTGGGGATAGAACTCAGGACCTTGTTCTTATCAGGCAGATGCTCTGCCGCTGAGCTAACTCCCCGGCCCTCTATCTCATAATTTTTCTCCACTATGCCTCCATCCTCCCAAGAATTCAAAACCATTCTTATTTTCCTATATTTTTCAGAATTTCCAACATTCATTCAACATTCAATACATTTCTGTATTTACTTCATTTATAGTGAGTTCATGGCTAGCTTGTTGAACAACCTTTATATTTCTTCATGTAGTTTCAGACTGGAAGCTCATTTTGAGTAAGTTTTGGATTGTTTTATTTTTCCCAGTGTCCCATCTTCCCTAGGTAGTTTTCAGTCCCTTCTCATAGTTTTAAGATGGTGTGTTACCTCTCAGTTGTAATATCTCAATGATACTGCACACCCAGGCCCTCGGCTGGGAAAGTGGCTTGCATCAGCTTCTTGTCCTCACAGTTTGTTGGCACAACCTCCAGGGGCCTATTCCGTCCTGTGAAAGCCATCTTTCCCAGTCCTTCTCTAGAGGTTAGTGTTGAGGGAGAGAGAACTGGCATTCTAATTCCTACCTTCTAGCAGGCGGCCTGGCTCCAACTCCTTTCTATAAACTCATGTGGACATTTTTACACACCCCTCCCTCAATTCCCTCACCTCCGTTATCCCCACTTAAAAGGCATGCAGCTTGAGTCTGCTTATTTCTGTGTACTGC